GAGAGAGAGAGAGAGAGAGAGAGAGAGAGAGAAAGAAAGAAAGAGAGAAAGAGAGAAAGAGAGAAAGAGAGAAAGAGAGAAAGAGAGAAAGAGAGAGAAATCTGAGGCATGCGAGTCGTTACTCAAGGCAGGTCGTCGGCTTGGATCCCAAGCTCGTAGATATGCAATAACATGAAGAAACAAAAGAAAGAAAAATAGATTAATGTAAATGCGCTTAAAGTCAGCTCGCCCTCGGCCGTCTAATATTCAGGGAATAATAATAGAGGACGAAAAAAATATGTCAGTGATATTTCCTTACTTTATGTTTTCGTTTGAGTGCCTGTGCGACAGTCGTGCGTGTACATGCGTGCGTTACTCGCGTTGTGCTTGGGAGTGCGATCGTGTGCGCGTTTGTGTGTATGCGTGTGTACATGTGTATGCGTGTGTGCGTGCGTTCATGTGTGTATGCGTGTTTGTGTGCATGCATCTGTGCATGCGTGCCTGTATGTGTGTACATGTAGAAGTTCAACGGAGGTTTCGTGGAACGTGCAGGGAAGTGAGAACCGCGAGCGGAGGGGCGGAGGCCCACGGAGGATCCGGGAGACTAAGGGAATATCGGAAGGGCGTCTTGGGGCTTCTGCCGGGCGCCTCGCAAGTGCCTGGCATTTCGGTCATCCGAGTGGGGTCTCATCTCTGGATTTGTTTACGACGGTCTAAGGCCATTGGGAAGAGATTGTCGGTATATTCACGGAATGAGAGGGTAGACTGGTGTCGGAAATATCTGTCTGTCTCCCTTTCCTTCTCCCTCTCTCTGTCTCTCTCCCTTTCCTTCTCCCTCTCTCTCTTCCTTTCCTTCTCCCTCTCTTTCTCTCTCTCTCTCTCTCTCCTTTTCCTTCTCCCTCTCCCTCCCACTCTCTCCCTCTCCCTCTCCAACCCTCCCTCATTCCCTGTGCCTCCTCCTCCGCTTCCCCTGCGTTGGCCCCGTGCCGAAGAAGCGTCTTTCAGTTCCCGCGCCTGAAATATAGCGTACCTCATACATTTAAAATTTACTGTCGGTCTTGTTACGTTTTTTTTGTCTGCAATTATATAAGTTTCTTTGTCGGTTTCTGTCTCTGTTTTCTTTTCTTTCTCTTTCTCGTTACATTTCTCTCTTCTGTTTTTTTTTCTTTTCTTTTTACTTTTGCTTTCTTTTTCCCTTTCGTTTTTATATCTGTGTTTATCCGTCTGTCTCTCTGCCTCTTTGTCAGATTCTCTGTTTTTCTATCTCTCCTGCTGTCTTTCTCAGTCTGTCTCTTCCCCTCTTTCTCTGTTACTCCTCTCTCCCTCTTCTTCTTCCCCCTCTCCACTCCCCCCACATATATTCTTACATACACACATACATACATACATACATGCACATATATGTGTATATATATTTATTTATATATGTATATTTACAGTAAATATATATATATATATATATATATAT